AGGGACCGTGTCTTGGTATAAACAAATGGTAGTTGTTAGAATATTGTACCTTGAAATGCCAAACAGATTATTTTTATGAAATTTAGAGAGACCCCCCCAAAAAAAAACAGTAAGTTTGTGAATGTATGTGATAATAATGAGAAAAGAAATTCAAGAGAATGAATTTTTATTAATGGGGATGGTAAATCTGCTTTAGTTTTATTATTTAGCTTTTAAGGTGTATAAAAATTTTCCTCCCCCTACTTTTTCTTTGTTTTCTTTTGCAAACTTTTTTCTTTTACGATATTGTAGGTGGTATTAACTGTCAATCATATATGCATTCATCTTTTCTGGATAGGTTTTCTCAGTTGTCTTGTACACTTTTTATATTTTTTATTCTATACTTCTAAAAAAAAAAAAGGACTCGACAGTTATCGTGTAATGTCTTTAAGCAACCCTCCGAAAGCTGTGATGGTGAATGGTTTGAGAACAAATCAAAGGTTTAGGATATGTGTGGCTGTAGATATCTTAACAAACTTTTTTTTTCTCGAGTTTGTGATATACATAGCTGACAGTTTTAGAAAATGAAATAAGTCTTTTAAAAGAAAGAACTGAAAAAAGAAAGTATAAAAGTGAAAAATAGAAAAAAAATACAATGTTATTTGTAATTTGTGAATACTGACATTCTCTTAAGAGTTGCAGTGTTAAAATGTTTTGTTATAAAATGAAAAAGAGGTAAAATAAAAAAATAAAAGCAAGAAAAAAAGTCATAAACAGCTCATCTTGCTGTAGCTGAGTGGGTGTGTTAAGCAAGATTGTGTATTTGCATGTTGCTCTTGGGTATATTGATAGCCAGTAGGAGATATGGCTACCTCCCGGTTTTCTTTTTATAATTATTTTTATTGTCTAATTTACTGCTTAACACCTTTGGTGTTGTTGTTATTGTTATTATTATTATTATCATTATTATTTATTTTATTATTATTATTATTATTATTATTATATTTTTTCATTATTATTATTATTATCATTATCATTATTATTATTATTTAGATTTTTATCTTTATTTTTTATACTACTACTTGCTACTACTGCTATTACCGTCTTCATTATTATATTCTTATCATTGCTTTGGTATTATAATTTTACTCCTGATTTATATTTGTAATTTGATACTCATTATCTTATTCATGATCAAGGTTTATTTAAGTGATCTATGATTTTCATGTGCAAATATACCAAGGAATTAAATGTTTCTTATTGAATTGTTTTCTTTATTCCTGCTTCTGCAAAGTCGACAGATTAAAGTTTTTTGTTTATAAATATTTGCACTGTCTGTTGTATACAAACTTGAATTTAATTTGAACTGAGTGGGACGTTTTACAGATGCTGTTTTTTAAATATAATTAGACACCTTGTACATTCATACATGTGATGGGTAGATGGATGCATTGATGGATGGATGAATGGACAGAATGATATAGATACACAGATTGACATAGAGAGAGGGATATTTATATATATAATATATATATATATATATATATATATATATATATATATATATATATAATATATATATAATGTATATAATAGGAGTACCACCGATGACATTTTTCAATTGCGGCAACTGAAGGACAGAGAAGGCCAGAAGAGCTGTATTGTGAGTCTATAGATATAAAGAAGGTTTGCAACGGATAAGCAGAGTGGAGATTGTGGAACTGTTTACAAGTAAAAGATGTGGATGAAAAGTATATTTATCTCATGCAGGATATGTACCTCAGCAGCAAAACGAGGGAACCTCAGATGATTTTGAAGTTACTGTTGGTCTACACTAGGGATCAGCCATTTTGATAGACTGTTTAACGGGCAGTGTACAGAAGGAATCTCCTTGGGATATGCTGTTTGCCAGTGATCTTATGCTGAGGGGTGAGGTGGTGAGGTGGAGGTGAGGCTAGAAGTGTTAAGAAGAAAAGAGTACTTATTCATGGGAGAAACTAGGATGGAGTGCGAAGTGAAGATGGAAGTACGAAACAGGAGAGATAAATGGGTGTAGCAGAGATGAAGATGCTCAGGGACTCGCTAGGAAAGACAAGGATGGGCAAAATAAGGAATGAAGTAATGCAAAAAGAAGTAAGTGTTGAGGAGATGAATAGTAAACAGAGAAACGAGGTTAAGATGGCTAAAACGCGTAGTGAGGAGACGAGAGGCAGAAAAAGAGGGGAAGACCAAAGAGAGCTTGGGAAGGTTGCATCAATGAAGACCTTAAAGCAATAGAGATGCGAAAAAGGCATGATGGACAAAAGAGGGAAAGAAGGGGATCTGCATCGATGACCCTGAAGATTCGCTGGAAGAAATGCCCATAGAATGAGAGAGAGAGAGAGAGAGAAAGAGAAAGAAAGAGAAAGAGAAAGAGAAAGAGAGAAAAAGAAAGCGAGAAAGAGTGAGAGAGTGAGTGAGAGAGAGAGAGAGAGAGAGAGAGAGAGAGAAGAGAGAGAGAGAGTGAGTGTGTGGTGTGTGT